CTTCCTAACAGTAAGGACAATTAACCAGTGGAACAGCTTGCCACCAGAAATCGTGGGCGCTCCATCACTGGACATTTTTAAAAAGAGGCTAGATAGTCACTTATCTGAGATGGTATAGATCAGGGGTCTTCAAAATTGGCCCTTGTATGACTTTGTGGACTACAACTCCCAGAATTCCTCAGCCAGTGTGCCTGGCTGAGGAATTCTGGGAGTTGAAGTCCACAAGTCACAAAAGGGCCAAGTTTGAAGACCCCTGGTATAGGTTCTCCTGCTCGAGAAGGGGGCTGGACTAGAAGACCTCCGAGGTCCCTTCCAGCTCTATTCTATATTCTATCCTAAAGTACGCAGGATTGAGGTAAAAAAGCGATACCCATCCAGCAAACTGTTTTGGTTGCTTGAGGAAGCTGCCTCTCACCCCTCTGTATGAGTTGCTGATCTAACCAGAGTGACTTTCGATCGGCAGATGGGGACCTAAGCAGGCGACTGCTGTGTCATGCTGTAATTTTCTTGTGGCCAAGAGAGGACTCTGTCGAATCGTCTGGCCGTCTAGATTTTGCTTCCTCTGAGTAGGCTTTGAATTATGGCACCACATCAGTTCCGCTCCTCAATCTTTCCGACTCGTTTTTTGAGGCCACGGAGTGGATCATTTCGGTCTTCCAAGCCAAACAAAACTGTTCTGTTTCGAAGGCTCTCCGGCCATACCTGAAGGTTCAGGCTCAGGGCAGGGGTAGGCAACCTTGGCTCTTTTAGGACTTGTGGACCAACTTCCAGAATTCCTCAGCCAGCATGGGGGAACTATGGCCCCTTCATGACTTTTGGACTTCAACTCCCAGAATTCCTGAGCCAGCTTGGGGGAACTATGGCCCCTTCATGACTTGTGGACTTCAACTCCCAGAATTCCTGAGTCAGTAGGGAGGAACTACGGCCTCTTCATGACTTGTGGACTTCGACTCCCAGAATTCCTCAGCCAGCATGGGGGAACTATGGCTCCTTCATGACTTATGGACTTCAACTCCCAGAATTCCTGAGCCAGCTTGGGGGAACTATGGCCCCTTCATGACTCGGGGACTTCAACTCCCAGAATTCCTCAACCAGCATGGGGGAACTACAGCCCCTTCATGACTCGTGGACTTCAACTCCCAGAATTCCTGAGCCAGCTTGGGGGAACTATGGCCCCTTCATGACTCGTGGACTTCAACTCCCAGAATTCCTCAGCCAGCATGGGGGAACTATGGCCCCTTCATGACTTGTGGACTTCAACTCCCAGAATTCCTGATCCAGCATGGGGGAACTATGGCCCCTTCATGACTCATGGACATCAACTTCCAGAATTCCTGAGCCAGCATGGGGGAACTATGGCCCCTTCATGACTCGGGGACTTCAACTCCCAGAATTCCTGAGCCAGCATGGGGGAAACTTTGGCCCCTTCATGACTTGTGGACTTCAACTCCCAGAATTCCTGAGCCAGCATGGGGGAACTATGGCCCCTTCATGACTCAGGGACTTCAACTTCTAGAATTCCTGAGCCAGCATGGCTCAGCTTGGAAACCTCTCCCTTTCCCCTCAGCATGGCTGGCTAAGAAATTCTGGGAGTTGAAGTCCACGAGTCATAAAAGAGCCAAGGTTGCCTACCCCGGCTTAGGGCAAATTATTAGCAATATATATTTGAAAAAGCAAGATTTAAAACCAAAGAAAACCCACATTAGCTAGCCAGGGCGACAGTATCAGGTAGTCCTCGGTTTACGACAACGATTAAGCCCAAAATTTCTGTTGCTAAGTGAGACATTTGTTAAGTGAGCTTTGCCCCATTTTACGAACATTCTTCTCATAGTTATTAAGTGAATCACTGCAGTTGCTAACTTAGAAACAGGGTGGTTAAGTGTCTTCCCCACTGACAGGTCCTTGCCCTCCATCCTGGTAGAATAATAATAATAATAATAATAATAATAATAATAATAATAATAATAATAATAATGATGATGATGGAAGGGACCTCGGAGATCATCTAGTCCAGTGGTGGTGAACCTATGGCACACGTGCCAGAGGTGGCACTCGGAGCCCTCTCTGTGGGCACACACACTGTTGCCCCAGCCTCACCTCCCCCGCGACCCCCTCCTCACCACGCTTCCTCTCCCTCACCCCTCTGGGCCTCAAAGGATGGACTTCGTGATGGTTTTTGTAGTACAGGTAGTCCTTGACTTACAACAGTTTATTTACTGGCCATTCAAAGTTACAACGGCTGTTTCTAACTTAGCAACTGCAGTGATTCACTTAATAATTATGAGAAGAAAGTTTGTAAAATGGGGCAAAGCTCACTTAACAAATGTCTCACTTAGCAACAGAAATTTTGGGCTTAATCGTAGTTGTAAACCGAGGACTACCTGATACTGTTGCCCTGGCTAGCTAATGTGGGTTTTCTCTTTCCGATCAGTCAAACAGCACAAAAATCCTAGTTTAACTTCTGCTCCCTCCGGAAGCTCCTACACTAGCAAAACGCTTTGCTCTTTGTGCTTCGTGGCAGAGGAAAATAAAAATAAAACAATTAAAAAAAAAAAGATTCCCCCTCCACCCATGCTCCAGCCCTGACATCGATTTTGCTGCAGGGAGAAATTTAAAGCGAAGGACAGCATTTTGCAAAATGCAGTATTTTCTTGACAGCAGTAAGAGGGATGGTTTGGCACCGCGATCCTTCCGGCGTATCCTACCAAATTGAGGATTTCCCCTGCTGTCACAGAATCACCAAGTCAGATGATGAGACTTACCCGTTGGGAGAAAAATTCCCCACTTGCTTCAGGGAATTCCAATTAAAAACGTTCCGAAATGAGGAATTTCTGACCTCGGATAGAAGCGGGACCGCGGGCCGAGATTCGGGTGAGAAGCTGTCTTTCTATCATCTGAATTTATTAGTCTGGGTCCTGCAGGCTGGAATGGGAGGGAAGAGGGGTTTTTTTTGCATTTATCACCCTTTTGAGTAATTTTAAGAAGGGCGTTCTGTTTCTCCTTTTAGTCATCTTTTCTCAACCCTCCCTTCCTCCCTCTCTCCCTCCCTGCATTTATTTAGTTATTCAATTAATTAGTTCTCCTTGGAAAATGGATTTATAATTATATAAATTATTTATATAATTATAGATAAATGGATTTATAATCTCTTCTCTGTTCCTTCTTTCTTCCTCCTTTCCTCTCCCATCCCATCCCCTTTCCCCTCCTCTCCCTTCCTTCCCCTCCCTTCCTCTCCTCTTCTCCTCCCCTCCTTCCCCTCACTCCTTTCTTTCTTTCTTTCTTTCTTTCTTTCTTTCTTTCTTTCTTTCTTTCTTTCTTTCTTTCTTTCTTTCCTTTTCTTTCTTTCGCATTCCAAAGTAATGAGTTTCTAATCTCTTCCTCCTTTCTTTCTTTCTTTCTCTTTCTTTCTTTCTTTCTTTCTTTCTTTCTTTCTTTCTTTCCCTTTCCTTTTCTTTTCTTTTCTTTCATTTATTTATAACATTTCTATAGCTGAATTTTCATGGCATTTTTCTTTCAAACATTTCTATAGCTGAATTTTCATTTTTCTTTCCCCTTCCTTCCTTCCTTCCTTTTCTTTCTTTCTTTCTTTCTTTCTTTCTTTCTTTCTTTCTTTTCTTTTCTTTCATTTATTTATAACATTTCTATAGCTGAATTTTCATGGCATTTTTCTTTCAAACATTTGTATAGCTGAATTTTCATTTTTCTTTCTCCTTCCTTCCTTCCTTTCTTCCTTCCTCTTTCTTTCTTTCTTTCTTTTTTCTTTCTCATTCCAAAGTAATGAGTTTCTAACATCTTCCTCCTCTTTCTTTCTTTCTTTCTTTCTTTCTTTCTTTCTTTCTTTCTTTCTTTCTTTCTTTCTTTTCTTTTCTTTTCTTTTCTTTTCTTTCATTTGTTTATAACATTTCTATAGCTGAATTTTCATTTCATTTCTTTCAAACATTTCTAGAACTGAATTTTCATTTCATTTCTTTCTTTCAAACATTTCTAGATCTGGATTTTTATTTTTCTTCCTCCCTCCCTCCCTCCCTCCCTCCCTCCCTTCCGAACTAGATCCAGAACTTGAACAGATCTGACCAAAGCAAAATAAAGCAGAACAAATTCTACAGTATTTCTGCTGATGGTGCCTGTTTAGTGCTCGTGATATTCACGTCTTTGAATTTTGAACCGATGGCATGCAATCAGGCAGGTCCAGAGTAAGTTTTGAAGTGGTTCAAAGTCCGGACCTGAACATTCTTCTAGTTTTTTATTGTAAATTCACAAGCAACTGGCAGAATAATACTTGTGCCTCTTTCTTAATAATTAAAAGAACAAGTCCTTCATTTTAAAACACAAGGAGATTGCTGCAAATGGTTGAATATCTCCAGGGCTTGGAGCTTATTTTAAGTAAAATGTACAGTGCTTCCCTTTGAAACCAAACAGCCCGTGAAAATAAAAGCGCAGATGCAATTTCTGTAATGTGATTAGCTTTTTAGGACACATATAATAAAACAGGATATCTGCCTTTCAAGATCCTTCTGGTCACCAGCCAGATAAAAATAAAGCAGAGAAGAACCTTGCAGATTCAGAGATTTTGATTTATTATTTAATTCTGGAAGGACTTTCACAAAGTAGTTGCTTGCACAGAAGGTCAGCATATTTCTCCCACAAAATTGTGGTCTCTGTCTTATCACACACGTGGATAAAGCAGCCACTCTTAGGGGGGGATTCACTCTGCCTACATCTGGCCACGAAACAAAGGGTTTGTAATGCCCATTAATTGTCTGTTGGATTTGAAAGGAGAAGAAAAGCTTTGCAGAATTTTGTTGTTGTTAGTTGCGAAGTCGTGTCCGACCCATCGCGACCCCATGGACAACGTTCCTCCAGGCCTTCCTGTCCTCTACCATCTTCTGGAGCCCATTTAAGCTCACGCCTGCTGCTTCAGTGACTCCATCCAGCCACCTCCTTCTCTGTCGTCCCCTTCTTCTCTTATCCTCCATCTTTCCCAGCATTAGGCTCTTCTCCAGTGAGTCCTTCCTTCTCATTAGGTGGCCAAAGCATTTGAGTTTCAACTTCAGGATCTGGCCTTCTAAAGAGCAGTCAGGGTTGATCTCCTCTAGGACTGACCGGTTTGATCACCTCGCAGTCCAGGGGACTCGCAGGAGTCTTCTCCAACACCAGAGTTCAAAGGCCTCAATTCTTTGGCGCTCAGCCTTTCTTATGGTCCAACTTTCACAGCCATGCATTGCAACTGGGAAAACCATGGCCTTTACGCTTTTTTGTTGGCAGGGTGACGTCTCTGCTTTTTAGTATGCTGTCTAGATTTGCCATAACTTTCCTCCCCAGGAGCAAGCGTCTTTTAATTTCTTGGCTGCAGTCCCCATCTGTGATAATCTTGGAGCCCAGGAAGATAAAATCTGTCACTACCTCCATTTCTTCCCCATCTATTTGCCAGGAATTGAGAGGGCCGGATGCCATGATCTTGGTTTTCTTAATGTTGAGTTGCAGAATTTAGTGCACTCCTAAAACAAAACAAAAAAAGCTTGCAACCATATGGTTCTGTTACTCTATCTTGCTGCAATAAAATAGTGTTCCTGGAATCCCTGAAGGGGTCTATTTCTTGACCTGGCCCACCTTGAAGGACTGACAGGTAACTACTTTCTAAGGCTGCCAAAGATGTTATTTAATTACAGTGCTTTTTTTCTAAAAAAAAAAAAAAAAAGGTGCGGGAATTCACACACATCTTACAACCCGCTTTGCCTACCTTACAAGGTTCCATCCAAAAAAGGTGCCAGAACTCCGTTCTGGTCGTTCTATGAGAAAAAAAGCCCTGTTTAATTATCAGATTGGTATGACTGCCCATCTCACATAAAATCTACTGTTGTAGTCCACTGTCCTGGCACTCTGCAAAAGTTTCTGGAATGTTTTGTTTGTTTGTTTGTATCCTGCCTTTATTATTTTTACAAATAATGGCGAACAGATCCAACAAACTTTCTTCCTTCTATTTTCCCAAGAACAACAATCCTGTGAGGTGCATTGGGCTGAGAGAGAGAGAAATGATTGGCCACAGGTCACCCATTCAGCTTTTGTCCTTAAGATGGGACTAGAACTCACAGTCGCCTGCTGATTGGCCCAAAGTCACCCAGCTGGCTTTCATGGCTAAGGCAGGACTAGAACTCAGAGTCTCCTGGTGATTGGCCCAGAATCACCCAGCTGGCTTTCATGCCTAAGGCAGAACTAGAACTCAGAGTCTCCTGGTGATTGGCCCAAAGTCACCCAGCTGGCTTTCATGCCTAAACCAAACTGCCTCTCTAGTTTGGTTTAGAAGTATCTGAATAAATAATAATAATAAAGTATCTAATAGTATCTAATATAAATACCTACCGTATTTTCCAGCGTATAGGACGACTCGGGGTATAAGACGACCCCTGACTTCGGCGCCAATTTCCATGTCTTATACGCCAGAAACTACCGTAATTTCCGACGTATAAGACGACTCGGTGTATAAGGACCCCTGACTTCGGCACTGATTTCCATGCTTTAGAAAGTCGTCTTATACGTCGGAAAATATGGTAATAGATTATTAGATACTAATAGAAGTATCTAAAAGTATCTAACACAGTATCTAATTAAAAAGTCTTTCTTTTTATTGATTTGTTAGAGTTATATTGCAACTGTCTTGTATATGTCCTCAAGGGTAGCATATATAGCACCCCCTTGTCCTATTTTTCTGCCCGAACAACAACCTTGCTAGGTAGGTTAGCCAGAATTCTAACTCAGAACCTTAAGCAAGAAAGTTATTTTACCATCTTATTCATTGACATTTGTTAAGAGGGTCGACAGAATCATAGTTCATTTCACAAGTTATGTTAAATTATGGCTTATTATTTTTACCTACTCGTTATTTTATTATAAAAATAAAATAAATAATGGCTTCTGTAAAACTGGATAAAACAGTCACATTCTCTTGGTCCAAACCATCGTGTTGTTGTGGGAAAGATAATTATAAAAATTAATATGGGATAGCAAACTAAGGTTCATGGAAAATTCTATCTTGCAAAGTTCAATAATAATAATAATAATAATAACAACAATAATAATAATGACTTCAGAATTCAAACAGACAAGCACCTGCAACATAACACCCCAGACTTAACAATTGTCGATAAGAAAGACAAAAAAGTCTGGATAGTGAACGTGGCAGTGCCTGGAGACAGCAGAATAGATGAGAAAGAACTGGAGAAGATAACAAAATACAAAGACCTACAAATAGAAATAGAAAGACTGTGGCAAAAGCAAGCAAGGGTAGTACCAATAGTCATAGGCTCCTTGGGTGCAATCCCAAAACAACTGGAGCACCACTTGAACACCATTGGCATTGACAAATTCGCTATTAGTCAATTGCAAAAGGCGGCCTTACTAGGAACTGCTTCCATCCTGCGACGATACCTGTAATACCATCAAACATCCACATCTGCCTATCCCAGGTCCTGGGTAAGGACTCAATAGGTAGACAAAAATGCCAAATCCAGTCTGAACATTTGGCTGACTCTGCGATGATCCATAATATAATAATAATAATAATAATAATAATAATAATAATAATAATAATAACAACAACAACAACAACAACAACAACAACAATAATAGTTGGAAGGGACCTTGGAGGTCATCTAGTCCAACCCCCTGCTCAGGCAGGAAACCCTATACCATTTCAGACAAATGGCTGTCCAGTCTCTTCTTAAAAACTTCCAGTGTTGGAGCATTCACAGCTTCTGGAGGCAGAAAAGCAGAAAAAAACAGATTTTTGCTTGACCTTATCCTCCCTCTCTTCCATGCAGTCCTAAAGAACAGTTTGGCCTTTTTTGTTCATGCTGAGTGAGATTGAATAAAGC